TAGTGACTCAATTAATTGCGTCAAATAATTGCGTCAATTGCGTCAAGGATCTACCAATTTCTACCACATGTATACTATGGACCCATAGGTCTGTTGATTGCTATAAAATAGCCATTAATCTTATTAATTAATGCTATAGCTTCTGCACTTCTAGAATTGTTTAGTTCTGCATTAAAAAAACATTTGTACTCTATTTGTTCTTGAAAAGCTAGATGTGATTTTTTCAGAAAAGTTTTGTCTTATTAAGGCCTATTATATCAATTTTTCTTTTCAATAATTCTTTTATAAGGTTTGCTTAATCTATGTTTATATAATTTCCCTAATATTATAAATACTTATTGAAATTGAGAATATGAAGGTATTGATATTATATTGTATTACTGTTTTTTTTCTTGGTATTCTAGAAATTCTTTTATATCAGTAGCTCTACCTATACTTAATATAAGTTAATATAGTGTTGTAAAAAAATAAAAGTGAATATAAGGGTGTGCTGTATTCTATTTCATTTTTCATAATATATAGCAAATTGTAACTAGTGTTGACAATATAATCATTATTATTATTATTGTTATAATAAGATTCCTTATTGGACAATATTTGGTTAAGGACCATTTTGAAGTATATGGATGGAAATTTTTTTAATTGGCTCTATTTGTTATTATATATATTGGTATATTTATGAAACTTGTTAGATTATTGAATAATATGTGTTGTTATATATATTTGATAAAGATTAAGTGAATAGGTTTTCTTATACCAGATGTATTGTCTTTTGTTGCTTTAAAAAGTTTTTGAAGATTATATAATTCATATGGTTTTGTAAACTTTCTGCTTTTGTATTTAAGTCTGACTAGAATTCAAGAGCAGTTTTCCTAGGTTCAACTGTAACAACTTTTAGGATAAGCTAAAATGCACCTTAACTTTTTTTGTTAAGTAAGTTTTTTCAGATTTGCCAATCTAGTATTGCAGTGGTTTAGTTGTTTGACTAGTTGAAATAGTATATTCCATTAGGTCTTTAATTATAGTAGCTAATGTGTTTGAATTATTTTCTTTTTCTTTTGAATATTTTTTTTTGTTGCAGTTGAATTGTATAGGCTCAGAAATTTGTTAATAATTAGTTTATATTATTGTTTTTTTTTTATAATCAAATATCTTTATAGAAAACAGCTAATGTATAATATATTGTATTGCATAAACTATTCTACTGTCTTGAACACCTGTCTTAGACTATGTCTCTGTTGTAATTTTGGAGATAAAAAAGGTTGTTCTCTTTACTATCTATTTACTTAGAAAATTTGAAGATAAAGGTCATAGCCCACAGTTTATCACTACAGTTTATCAAAACAAAATCTTAATTACATCTTATATTTATAACTACTTCTTTTCTTTTTAATCCATCCCAAATTGTTATTAGACTTCAGTTTTGACTTTGCTTTAATTTTTCTTCAATATTGTCTTTTTGGTCTATAGGGTCTTTAGATTTATATTCTTCCAGTTTCTTTATTACTGGTTTTTTTTTTCTTGCTTTTTGTATGGCCACTTTTCCAATACTTTTTTATCTCTGACTTTACTTCTAATTCTTGTAGTTTGGAGCATCTGTCATTTCATATCTGATCTTGATAACATTCATAAATTCAGTTAATTTTGGAGCTAATTTGATAATGTTCTATTTAATAGATAAGCAATATATAATTTTTATAAATCAAAAAAACTTTTCTATTTACATCAAACTACTATTTAGAAATCCTAAAGAAAAACAAAATTTTATTCAAAACTTTTATCAAGGAGGAGAGAGATTCTCTCTCCAAACCTCTTATCAGCAATCCTGAACATATTCTGCTCAATATGGTTCTCTCAAATAACAAGAAACCAAAAGTGTCAATTATTTACAAAACTATAAAACTTCCAAAGTCTTTGTTACTAAACTATCAAAAGAAACATAAAGTGCCTATCTATCCTAAATAAGTTTATAGACCACCAACTGAACTTCAAATTTAATAAAGATGACAAAAACATTACTATACATGAAGTTGTTAAATTATAATTACCATTTTTCTTGAAACATACTCTCAATCACTGCAAACGAAGCAACAAATATATTTGAAGCCAGGAAAAAGAAAACATCAATCCCTTTATCAAATACTTCAGCTTCAACAGAAACAGTACTTATTACTTTCCAATTAAACACAAAAACCCTAACCAGCTTACTTCTATCAATGATCAATATGACACTTATAGTACCTAGGGGAGAGGGTACAACTCAGTATTACACAAGTTAAATTGTCGATTCTAAATATGTCACTAATTTTTTGTACTATATTCATCTAATTTCATACGAAAAAAAGGCTCTTGTAAAGTCTATCTCTTCATTTACGTAGCCAATAAGTGACTGATTCAAAATATTCCTACCCACACATTCTATTTACACCTTTTGGTAAGTTTTTTATAAGGATTAGGAGCCTTTTCGTGTTCGCAGAAACAAATACTGCACTCTGAAAAGACTTTCTGATATTTTTAGCCTTTCAGTCCTGTTTATTTTATATATTTATGAGCTTTAACAGACTTATACTCTATACAAGTGCCTTCCATTCCAATCTCAATATCTTCCATCTTAATATTAGTATCTTCTGTCTTGACATCAGTGTTTGCTATCCTGATATCAATATCTGCCACCCAATATCAGTGTCTGTCGTGATACTGACACTTGAACTCTTGTGACATCTGGTTATGTCAATAGTCTTCCATGCGCATATGCTGGTTACGTAAGGTGGGAGCAATAGAAACACTTACAAAACATTATTTACATTTACGACATTTATAAT